TTTTTTCTTTTCTTTTTTTTTTTTTTTTTTTTCATTTTTAAGGGGTGGTTTTGAGACAGGGTCTCATTATGTAGTTCAGGCTAGCTTACTATGTAGCCCTGGTTGGCCTCAAACTTGCAGTGATTCTCCCAGCTCAGCCTCCTGAATACTAGGATTACAGGCGTGTGCCACCTCGCCTGGTAAATCTCTGTTCTTTTCTGTGAATGTTGTCTTAACTGCACTCAAGTCTCTCGTTCTGGTTTTGTTTTCTTTTGTTTTTTGTGTTTTTGGCCTTGAGCTCACTTTGTAGCCCAGGCTGGTCTTGAAGTTGCAACGATCCTCCTACCTCAGCCTCCAGAGTGCTGGGATTACAGCTATGCATCACCATGCCCTGCTTTAGTCTCTCATTCTGAAAACCTATTATAGCCAGGTGTACTGGTACATTCCTATAATCCCAGAACTTTGGAAACTGAGGCCAGAGTATTACCACGAATTTAGAGGATAACCAGGGCTACACAGTGGTTCAAGATCAGCCTTAACTACATAGCAAGACTCTATCAAAAGAAAGAAGGAAAGAAAGAACCTTCTCTCCTCTCAAATCTGTGTCTTTTTTTTTTTTTTTTTAATTTCTGAGACAGAGTTTCATTGTGTAGTTCAGGCTGCCTTGAATTCATTATGTAGCCCAGGCTGGCCTTGAACTTGACATGGTCCTTCTGCCTCCGCCTCCCAAAGTGCTAGAAATACAGGCATGTGACACCACACCTAGCTAGAATCACCAGTCCTTTAGCCATGTTTTCTGTTTAGTTTCCCTTAACATACATTATTTTTCCATTTCCAGTATTTCTCTTTGGCCTCTTTCCCAAATCTACCTGTCCTCATCCATGTGCTCTTCCTTTAACCCAGGGCTTGTATTTGTTCCGTTATGTCTGTGAGGTCTCTTTTACAATTTCCTATCGTCTTTTCTTAGGATATGAATTTTATCATTTGTACATTTGGGGGCTCCTGTACTCCTTCTCCTCATGCACTTCGCAATTTCTAGCTCTGGGATCATTTTCAGAGACTGTTGTTCTCTGGATAATCCACTGTACTGTACTTTTGGTTGTAAATTGCCCTATCAAGTACTTTCTATTTGTCCCTGCTGGGGCAGTTTAATTTCACCAGTTGTAACCAGTCATCAAGTCAATTTCTTAGTCTGCATTTTTTGTTTGTTTGCTTGTTCATTTGTTTGTTTGTTTTATGCCAGGCCTCACTATGCAGCTCAGACTCAGGGCCGGCACAACACACCCAGGGTTCCATGCCATATGGTACTGGGGAACGAACTTGGGTCCTTGCTCTTGCCAGGCAGGCACTTAGACCACTGAACTATCTCCCCAGTCCCAACTTCTTAATGTGATACCTATACCAAGGGCAGAATACAAATCTGAATCCAATATTCATTGGCAGTATAAGTCTGGGATTTTTTTTGTGTGTGACCCTGGCTCGTCTTGAACTCAGTGATCCTCCGGCCTCAACTTCTCAGGTGCTAGCACGATAGGCCATCCCCCATCCAGCAGGAGGCACTGTGGCTGCTGTTTTCCATTGCCCAGACTCAAGACTTTATCCTCCCTTCCTGGGCCAGTTTTATAACTCCAGCACCTAATAGCAGCAGTGAGTCATAAGTCATCTGAATCAATGCAGTTTCTCAGAGATCTCTCAAAAAAAGCTTTAACTTTGTCCTAACAAAACCAGTATGGGCCTATGTCAGATTGTCCTGAAGGACCCTTCCCTTTCTGCTCCTCGTCTCTCCCAACTCCTTTGTTCCTCACACCTTTCTTTAGTTCCTCCTTTGGGGCTGACTTTGAGTCTCTCCCTTATTTTATAGTCCGTCAATATGGTAAAATCTTCCAGCATTTCCTCGTGTTTCAAGGAGGAAGGGGGATTCCCTTGTCTTCCCACTCTGCCGTGTTGACTGCACATGCTCCCATCTTTTATTTCCGCCTTCTCCTAGGGTGGCCATCCCCATGAGCAGGGAGCTCTTCTTTGGGACGTCTGTGGTGAAGTGGATGGCACCAGATGCATTTCCTCGGTTATGTTTTCTCTTCAGGTTTCGGAGTGGCACAGACCAAAGCCATCATGACACTGGTGTCTGGGATTCCAATGGGCCCACCCCGGCTTCCCCTGCAGAAAGCCACCAGGGAGTTTACCGACCATGCTGCAGCTAAGCTGAAGAGCCTGGATTTCCTCTCCACTGCTGATTTAAAGGGTAGAAACTTGGGAGCCTGTATCTAGGGCCTCTCTATAAACCAGGCTGCGTATACTGAAAACTAATCTACCTTGAAGCACACTCTTTCCTCAGGGACTTTTTAGGTGAACTTGAACTAAACTTTCTCTTAGCAAATGAAATTTCATAGCAGTCAACAAGTATTTAAGTATCTAACTGGAGGCCTAAAATTCTTATTTTGTGAATGGGCAAAAAATCTAAAAGGAGCCATGGGCCCTAAGTTAGCATTTTAGAGATTTTTTTACAGATAAACTTCTCTTTATATGAATAAAATGGAATCAAAGGGGAAATTAAATTAATTCCATCTGCCTTTGGAAACTCATTATCTTGATTTCTGGTTATTAATCTTATTTTAAGGTTTTCTAACATGAAACCACTATGATGTACTGTCATAATAAATACTCATTTGAAATCCAGGAAAACTGTCATGTTACATTTAGTAAGCAATTTAATTTTAATGCCAAATTACAACATATGTGAGGCAGGAGGATTGCAGGGAGTTCAAGACCAGCCTGGACTACAATGTCTCAAGAAACAAAACAAATATTTAAGTATCTAGCTGTAAGTCTAAAATTTCTTATTTTGTGAAAGGGGAAAAAAAAAATCTAAAAGGAGCCATGGGCCCTAAGTTTTCATCTTACAGATTTTTTTACAGATAAGCTTCTGCCTCAGCCTCCCAAGCACTAGGGTTACAGGTGTGTACCACTGTGCCTGGCTGACACAGCTGTATAAAACTCACACACCAGTTCATTTGACCACTCGGTCTAACTCTAGGACATCTGCTGTCAGATTAATTTTAATGTCACAGTTGTCCCCCAAAACTTTGGGTCAGGTTAGGACTTGCGTCTGGTGCTGTCAAAGGGCCCTCTGCGCTGATGTGGTTTAGATATAATTCGTGCACAGAAATCTTGATCCTTAGCATGAAGATGGAGGTGCTTGGCCTTGAAGAGGGGGCCTGGTGGGAGGTCCTTAAACCTAGAATGCTGCCCAGAAGGGGATCCCCGGCTCCTGGAGTTTTTCATTATGCAAGCCTGAGGCTGAGCCTTGACTGCTTCTTGGCTTCCTAGCTGGCCATGTGATCTCTTTCCTGCTGTCCACCATGAAGCCTGCACCAAAGCTGACCCAGTGCCCTGGAGCCTCCACAACTGTGAACCAAATAGACCTCTTTTATTTATAAACACCCAGCCTCAGGTATTTTATTATAGTGCCAAAAATGAACTTGAAGTAGGGGAAAAGGAAGAGATCCACCGCCAGGGGTTGATGGATAGGCTTTTCTAAAGCATCAGTCACTGGGAGCAGTTCACAGCGTTATTCTCTTCGTACCTTCCCAAAGATGAATTTGAATGTCTGCTTTGTGCTGTAATACAGAGAGCTTCTTCTTCTGTTTTTTAAATGTAGTACAGGGTCTCACTATTACAGACACGCACCACCATGCCCAGTCTCAGTCACCAGCTCAGTGCGCCCCGGGAGCAGGGCTGGCATGGCTTATGAGGACTATCCCTGCCCTCTGCCTAAGCAGGCACTTTAATCTGCTGAGTTATCTGGCCGGCCCTTTAGAGAGTTTCTTAAAACTAAACATTTCCAAACACCAGGACTCGTGCACGGTTTCTGTGTTCATTTCCAGCCATAGCGATTTCTCCTTTGCTAGACGGCATTGCCCCCGAGCAGAGATGGGGCCATAAATGAAGCCCTTCACAATTTCAGTTGTGCATGTCTTCCAGCTATTTCAGAGCTAGGGCTGAAGCAAGAGGACCATAAGTTCTAAGCCAGGGAACTTAATGAGATCTTGTCTTAGAAAAAAAAAATTTTTTAATAGCATAGCTCAGTGTAAAGTCTCTGGATTTAAAAAAAAATAGGTAGAATGAGCGACTTAACAAAAATTTTCTTTTGCAGTTCTGGAGTCTGGGATGTCCAAAATCAAGTTGCCAGGGAGGGCCTGTTTCCTGCTTTGCAAGTGGATGCTTTCTTGCTTAATGTATCCTGATATGGAAGAAAAGGTGCTCAGGGTCTTGCTATGTAGTTCATCTGGCCTTAACTCAAGGTGATCCTCCTGCCTCAACCTCCTCTGAGTGCTGGGATTTCAGGCATGAGCTACCATGCCCAGTTCAAATCCTTTTCTTATAAAGACACTAATTCCATCATAGGACTCTACTCTTAGGACTTCATCTAAATCCAGTTATATCCCCAAAGTCCCACCTTCAAATACCAACACGTTGGGGATTAGGGCTTTAATGTAAGACTTTGTTTTTGGGGGATGTTTGTTTGTTTGGTTGGTTGGTTGGTTGGGTTTTTTTGGTGGAACTGGGTAATGAACCCAAACCCTTTCACTTGCCAGGCAAGCGCTTATTCTATGGAGCCATCTCCCCGACCCTTAATGTAAGACTTTGTAAGGAGGAGGGGTTGGGACAGAAATATGTGACACACAGCAGAAGCTATCTGTAGATGGTTGAAATCATGAAGAGCAAGATTGTCTAGGTAGAATGTACTATATATGGAATGTCAGGAACAGAACCCAGGCGTGTTTGGTGACCATTTGCTTTGGGAGTCTCATCCTTGGAGAAAACAGCATAATTCACCGGGTGTGGTGGTGCACACTTACACTCCCAGTACTTGGGAGGCTAAGGCAGGACTTCCATGAGTTCAAGGCCAGTTTGGGCTACATAAGTGAATTCAAGCAAGCCTGCACTATATGAGAACCTGTCTTTAAAAAAATAAAACATGGCTCACCATGGGTTTCATTGCTACAGAATAAAAAGCCAGAACTAGAAGGCCGATGGTCATCCCACCCCTTTTAAGGAAAAGCTCAGTAGGGCCTAATGATACACACCTGGCGTCCTCGTGGTCTGGGGGTTTATGTTAGGGTTTTTAGTTGTGCAGTAAAGAAAAAGGAAAGACAAAAGAAGTCTTTATTGACTCTAAAAATACTCTAAATAATCCAAGGAAAGATGGGGAGGATCCTCTGACCTTAGACAAAGGAAGCTGAGACTCTTATGGACTGTTGCTAGGGTTAGAGTTTGAGGAGCAGGTTCAGTGACACCTAAGGAGCTGGTGGGGTCTCCCCAGTGTGCGCAGGAAAGGTGAGAGGAAACTATCCAGGACTGGGTTGGAGAAGAAGGGGAAAGTGGTCATTGGGAAGATAAGCTGTTGTTTTAAGGGCTTAGACATGTTAGATTGCCACCACAATAATTCAGCAATTCACAGTAGGGCCAGAACCTATCGATTGAGACAGAAAGATACGTAATTTCATAATCACCCAGCCTGGGCAATTTAGCAACTTAACCAGACCCTGTCTCAAAGCAGAGAACATAAAAAGGAGCTGGGACCTTGCTCAGTGCCAAAGCTCCAGGTTCCATCCCCAGTTCCCCCTACCCAAAAAAGAAAACAGAAGGGGAGGAAGAGGACAGGGAGGATCAAAGCAGAGCAACCGAGGAGCTTGCTCAGACTCATGGGCAGCCTGAATGGGAAGAGAAAGTACAGTCCAGACCTAGGCCAGCCCCCAGCTAGTAAAGGCTAATGCTGGCTTCCAAGCGGAGGGGAGGGAGCCCCAAACTCGCAGCATTTGCCACTCTCTGCAGTAGCAGCCTACGCCCCTGTTCCGAGCCATGAACACTGTTCGAGTACTTTTCAGTCTTCCCACAGGGAAAATGCCATTTGCTCCCAGTTAATGGATCAGGGAATGCAGGCACTTCTGACACTTCATAAAATGTGCTTGCTCTTGCTCTTCCTAAGAGCAAGCCGGGCCACGCCCCTTTTGATACTGTGCCATCCTCTCACCTGCACAACTGTGACATAGCTGTGAGTGGGTGCTATATCAAGCCACTAAGAGTGTAGCGACTTGTTATGGAGAAATAGAAAACTAAAATAGCCATACTCAAACTGTTTTACGGAAATACATCTTTTTTCTTCAGTGTTTTAGACCTTTGAGGTTTGTCTCAGTCTTTAGATTCATTCCAGTCCTAATTAGACAGCTGTCCTATTAGGAGCTCCTCATTATGGTTGATAGAAATGACCACAGGGCTGGAGTCACCGGGCAGTAGTTATTAAATGTTGCTTTCATTCGATACCAATATTGTAAGCAACTCCAAGGGCTGTGGCTACCCACATTGCAAAGAAGCAAAATGGGGAAGGAGGGCGGGCCAGATAGCTCAGCGGACTAAAGCGCCTGCTTAGGCAGACACAGGGGCCAGTGTTCAATGAGAGCCGTGCTGGCCCCAGCCCCAGGGCGTGCTGAGGCGGTGATTGAGACTGGGCGTGGTGCCGCATGCCTGGAATCCCAGGGCTCAGGAGGCTGAAAACAGGAGAATCACTACAAGTCTAATCTATGTAGTGAAACCCTGTAAACCTTGTAGACCTTGTACGGGTAAATACAATAAAATAAAATGAAAAAATGATGCCCTTACTTATTTTTTTGAGACAGGGCCTCACTATGCAGCTCAGGCTAGCCTTGAGTTCACTTTGTAGCCCAAGTTGGTCTCGAATTTGCAATGATCCTTCTGCCTCAGTCTCCTGAGTGCTGGGATTACGGACTTGAAAAGGATGCCTTTGGGGCCGGCCGAGATGGCTCAGTGGAATAAGCGCTTCCCTGGCAAACGCAAGGGCCTGAGTTCAGTCCCGGTTCTGCCAAAAAAAAAGGATGCCTTTAATATAATTATCAGTTTCTAAGCTTTCATTTAAGTTGTTGCTCTTTAGATTTATAGACTAAATATTGTGAACCATTTGATGTCATAAGTTTGGTTCCTTTACAGCCCAATTACTGTTACATTGGAAGTTATATTTAGAATCCCCAGTGGTACCCCACCCGAGACAGACGTCTGCCATCTAGCTTTAGTCACAAGAAAACTTTCACACTGGTTATTTTACGCACTACTTGAAAACATTTCAAAATTCTATGCTCTGTGGAGAAGCAAACCAGGCCTGCGGTCAAGAGCCGAGTTGACAGAAACTAGGCCACAAGATGGAGACAGGGTGGCTGGGACTACAAGGCTTCCCAGAGGTAAATCTCACCTCCGAGCTGTTCTGTAACTGGCACCATTTAGTCCAAGAAGTTTGAACAATACAACACACACGTGGGAGCAATGTAATAAACACACAGATAGTCCACTAGAACACCCTGATCCATACTCCTACGCGTTCCAGAAATGCCTTTGTGCTTCTCTATACTACTCTTTCTACATATCTGTTTTTTTTCTATTAAGGTAATAGTAGCTAAGTCACTATACTTGGAAACCTATGATTTGACTATAGGGTTTTTTGTTGTTGTTATTGTTTGTCTTTTTGAGACAGGGTCTTGCTATGCAGTCCAAACAGGACTTGAGCTCACTTTGCAGTTCAGGATGGTCTCAAACTCCCAGTGATACTCCCTCCTGCCTCAGCCTCCCAAGAGCTGGGATTATGGGCGTGGGCCACCACAGCCAGC